GTACACCTCATTAGAGCAGTTTTTAAGAGTTCACTTTCATAAATATCTACAATGAAAAGTCATTCATGTATAGCATTTTATACTGCACGGAAAGCCATGTTCTATGAAAATTAGAAGGAAAAAAACTGATGTTATATTGGACCAGAAGGGGTGAGTATGTTCTAAACAATTATGGCCCGTTGTAAACGGTGAATATCCAAAATTGTCAACCTAAAATGTTATTTCCCTGAGGGCGCAGCACGAAATGAAATAACTTTAAGCTACTTCACCTTTTTAATAATAAATGTTAATAAAACAATACTCATTAGGGGAACTTTGTGCAGAAAAATCAAGTATTTTACCCATAACATCAACAGTAGGTACAAAACAAAGAAATTTATTAGTATATGTAGCGGGATCAATTCTGTTGAGGATTAAAAGAAAGGAGCATTATTTAACTGACGACAATGTATATGTAAGTATGTTGAAAATGCACACATACCATTCTTTCTTAGCTTTAAGATAGAGGTAGATATATACAAGCAGCCAGAAATGAGACAATAAACACCTTATGTAGAAGTATAAGTTTCAAATATATAAGTACACAATAATTTTAAATGTTTGGAATCAAATATATAAATTTCGGATATGAATAAAATTATTTTATAAACAAATTATGAATATTAAAGTTTATCAAATTTAACGGATTGTGTGACTATCTGCCATTACATGAAATATTTATTAACAAATATTAAATTTAGAATTAAACAAGGGAGATTACACTACATATCTTATTCATTTCCATTACTTTGATATCACTCTAATTGGGTCAACTCAACTTGGTTTTTTAATTGAATTTAAATTAAAAACTAGAGAGATAGGATGAGTATAAAATAGTTATTTTGGCCAATTTATATACTAATTAACGTTTAAATTGTGTATAAACCTTCTTAATTCATACTTCTTTCACAAAAATAAGGCATGTACATGTGCACTGACAAATTGTGTTTTTCGTTGATTTACCCAATGTAGTTATCTAATTTTCTTTCATTATGGGTGCTTTTTCGCCGGAAAATAGCTAAAAGATGTTTGCTACTCTGCTTCAAAGTAACAAGCTTTTTAAAAGACTGTTATAAATTGATAGTATATAAATAACGGAACTTAAAAAGTAGAACGCAATGATGGGTCCGTGTGCTTGTTTTAGAGATACATGTATAAGCCATTGAAAATTTGGCGGGAAATGATTCTCTCTAGATATTTCATACAATTAACATTGACAGCATTTTTCTTTCAAAAACTATGAAAAAATAACAAGGATTCTATAAGATTTTCAAATATGACTTTTAAAACTTATGTAATAAAATTATGAAAAGAAAAGTAAGGCTTAGAAGGCAAAATTTTTAATGGGCACTAGATGGATAAAACCAGAGGATTCCGAATATCTGACAAAAATTCAAAAAAAAGAGGAGCGAACATCCTTAATGACGTAAGGTTCTTGTCATTTTGAAAATCTTTAAAATACGATTTTCTTGACCTATTAGATCTGCCATTAAGGTTAATCAAAAGGAATTGTAAAATATGGCCGTGTTTACACCACACAATCTACAATAAGTACAGACAAACTGATGCATCTAGCTAAGATTTATAAAAGTTATATGTAGTCTACGTTTCAGAAAATTAATAACTTACATGGATTTTGATGTGCATTTTTTCCCAGTCTGCAGAAGATAGCAAAATAAACCAACACATGAGATCCATTTGATACGGTCCACTCAGTTACACAGTTTAAATCGCCTATTGTTTGCAGGTGTCTATTGTCCATTTAAATCAATAATACTCACAACATTTATTATATGAGGGGAGCTTCTCAAACCTCTTTCCCAACAGAGTTTATTTTGGCACCTTCTTAGCTGCAGGAATGAAAAAAAAATGAATAGCAAAATCCAGAAAAATTTAAATCTAAGTGAATTAAGCAAGTAAAATAGATTGAAATTAAAACAATGGTCTTAATAATTAAATGCAAAATACTTGCTTATAGCACCAACACAGTACCAGACTCTAGGGTCGACAATACCGGAAATCGTAAAGTCCCATGTTTTGTGGTTATATGTATCAACATTGACTTACACCGTTCATAGGTGACTTTAAAAGATTAATAGGGGTAAGGTAACACATTATCTACAATATATAATTGCTATTTACACATTTTAACCAATTTTAAGCCTCCAGACTAGATCGAACTTTTAAAAGACTTCTGCAGACTCTATTCAGTAGTGCATACTCCTATACATTCTTGCATGTGGCTCTTCCCCAACTGTAAAATACAAAGGCAGGGGACACGTGAAAATAATGCTCTTGCAATGATATGCATAATTAAATCTCGAAAACTTAGTTACTTTTCAATATATCTCTTGCAATCTTGAAACACATTATCACATTTAACTTCTCAAGAAGATAAATTTGCCCTAACTGTGAAATCAAAGGTGGCTTGTAACCAAATGAAAATGTCTCAATAAATCTATAAAATGACGAGATTTGCAAGTCATTTTGCTTATTATAGTTTGTGCAATATTATCAGTAAACACAATTACACACGTTCATGTAACTCGTAACTGTCACTGCCAATGATTAACGGCCACGACAACTGTTTCTTAAAAGTTAATATGAAAATCAGCTACTGCTAGCAAGTCAATGTTTTTTTATTGATTCTAAAGTTATCATTGCAAAAGAAAGCACCTTCTCTAAAATTTTCTTTATCTATATGAATGTTAATGTATGCATTGATTTGATATTTGCTAAATTCAATGATACATTTAAAACATTTAAAACATGTATACATTGAGTCAAATATTTTAAGACTGTAAAACAATCATTTGATATTGGTTAGTCTTTTGTTTGACTGTCTTTCAATTACTTTTTAGGATCTAGTAGACGCCTTTCAATATTCGAACACCTTTATAACCTGGTAACTCAAACTTAGCTTAACAAGCCCGATATTTACCTTTGAATTCATATAACAAATTATAGAATTATGTTGACTTATCGTTTTGAAAACTGGTTGTTGAATTGTGTGTGTCTATAACAATACATTTACATCAAACAGTATGCAGAACCTTCCACTTGGTTGTATTAACAAACAAAAACACTTATTTACGCAATAGCTTAATCAGACAGCAGAACATCTGTCAAAAGTAGACCATTTCATGTAAAAAAAATAATGCAATAACTCAAAATTGTATCTTGGCTTCATCGTTTAACTCAAAGCAATATTAAGTCTTAAAAATATATTTGGGTTGTGTCTGCTCCTAACAGTTACTAAGTGCCATAAAAAGGGAATCCTTACTACTTCCTTTAACCACTAGTGTATACGGGCGAAGGAATAATTAGAAGGATGCATTTTCAAATTTCTTTAAGCCTATGACCAATATGACATTGGAAGGAAACCGCCTTACTTATTGAGTTAACGTTCATATTTCAAGTCAATACTTTTACATGAGGTATGACTAACATAATAACTAATACCACCTACTAGCATTATAAATAAAAATATCATTGAATCATATGATTTTTGTACTGCACCAAGGTCACTTAGGTTTTGAGTCTCATTGATCAAAATATAATAACCAATTTAAAAGTCGAGAGATTAATTGAAAGTCAGCCTTGTCGTCATTTTCTTACGCTGACCTACAATTTAAAAAAAAAATGTTCAGTTAAATTATATGCAAAATATAATAAGCACATTATTCGTCAAAATGAAACCATTACTAACAACAGAAACGATAAAATTGCAAATAATTATCTAAAATGTGTTTTTTCTGTAATTCGACTTTTGCAGGCGAGTCTTGAATGGGGTCAATAGGGAACTAGTTGCGAAATTTGGATACAAAGATCAAAGTAACTTAATATAAATACGATAATTTGTATCAGGCAATAGAGAAATATAAAATCAAACACATGTACGTGTAGCAGTAAAGTCTGCAGTTAGGATTAAGATCTGTGATCTTAAAGTGTGAGAGAAATGTTGTGATTTTGAATTTTTCTTCTTTTTTTTTTGCATACATATCTTATATAAACATAATAAAGGGACCTATCTTAATTTACCTACTTTACTTATTACTTATAATAAGTAAATCCATGCTGCTGTTTTGGTTTATACACTTGTAAGATATACACTCCGATAGTATTACTGCTAGAGCACTTCTGTAAATGTAACTTTTAAGCTCACCTGGATCCAAAGGGCGATGTGTGATTTTCCCATCAATTTGCGTCCGTCGTCTGTCGTCGTCTTTCGTCCATTAACTTTTACAAAGATCATCTTCTCTGAAACAACTGAGTCAGATTAACCAAACTTGGCCACAATTATAAATAGGGTATCTAGTTTAAAAATGTGTCCAATGACCCTGCCTGCCAACAAACATGGGCATCATGGCTTAAAATAGAACATAGAGGTAAAATCCAACTCTTTTCTATCATCTTGAAAACCGCTTTAGATAGAGAAAATCTCACAGAGGCAAACATCTTCATAATGATGAGATCTTCCTAATGATTGTTAACATCGATACTATCAGACGCCTTCGTATAGGGGTTATTGCTCTTAAACGAAACATTTTACCAAATAGCAAAACATGATCAGAGAAACAAGATCTACAAATAAGCCACATGGCTGAAACCTTCAGTCGACTCATTATTGTAGGTATGCCATTTATTGGTTATTTTTATATTTGTTTTGCATTTTTTGCCTATTATCTTGAAAACTATAATAGATAAATAGAAAGTTTGAAAAGGAAACTGATCAGCAGGATTACACTTATAAATATGTCAAATAACTGAATATGTCAATTGGCTCCTAAAAGAGTTAATCCCCTATAATAATGATTTTTACTAACAAGTGGCCATTGCTAAAGATACAGGTGAGCGACACAGACTCTTTAGAGCTTCTAGTTACAATCTATTAAATATTTATAATAAAAAAAAGATGTGATGAGTTATAATTATCATGTTTATATTTGCTTATTTTACAGATAACCTTACACCATTTGGCATAGCTACGCAAAGTTCTTACATTGGTGGTTATATTCAATTTGGTAAACCAGAATATGCTATAAAACCACCTATATCAAATGAATGGTCTTTTTATGTATGTTCGCATACTAATATAAACCGTTCTAGAACACCAGCAGATTGGTGGATGTTTGAATTATCTTTCGAATCTGCATTCATCACAGATATAACTATTTACTACAGAGAAGGCTGTAAGTATATACATCACAGATATAACTATTTACTACAGAGAAGGTTGTAAGTATATACATCACAGATATAACTATTTACTACAGAGAAGGCTGTAAGTATATTCATCACAGATATAACTATTTACTACAGAGAAGGCTGTAAGTACATGCATCACATATATAACTATTTACTACAGAGAAGGCTGTAAGTATATACATCACAGATATAACTATTTACTACAGAGAACACTGTAAGTATTTACATCACAGATATAACTTTTTACTACAGAGAAGGTTGTAAGTATATACATCACAGATATAACTATTTACTACAGAGAAGGTTGTAAGTATATACATCACAGATATAACTATTTACTACAGAGAAGGCTGTAAGTATATACATCACAGATATAACTATTTACTACAGAGAAGGCTGTAAGTATATTCATCACAAATATAACTATTTACTACAGAGAAGGCTGTAAGTATATACATCACAGATATAACTATTCACTACAGAGAATACTGTAAGTATATACATCACAGATATAACTATTTACTACAGAGAAGGCTGTAAGTATATTCATCACAAATATAACTATTTACTACAGAGAAGGCTGTAAGTATATACATCACAGATATAACTATTCACTACAGAGAATACTGTAAGTATATACATCACAGATATAACTATTTACTACAGAGAAGGCTGTAAGTATATACATCACAGATATAACTATTTACTACAGTGAAGGCTGTAAGTATATACATCACAGATATAACTATTTACTACAGAGAAGGCTGTAAGTATATTCATCACAAATATAACTATTTACTACAAAGAAGGCTGTAAGTATATACATCACAGATATAACTATTTACTACAGAGAATACTGTAAGTATATACATCACAGATATAACTATTTACTACAGAGAAGGTTGTAAGTATATACATCACAGATATAACTTTTTACTACAGAGAAGGCTGTAAGTATATACATCACAGATATAACTATTTACTACAGAGAAGGCTGTAAGTATATACATCACAGATATAACTATTTACTACAGAGAACACTGTAAGTATATACATCACAGATATAACTATTTACTACAGATAAGGTTGTAAGTATATACATCACAGATATAACTATTTACCACAGAAAAGGCTGTAAGTATATACATCACAGATATAACTATTTACTATAGAGAACACTGTAACTATATACATCACAGATATAACTATCTACTACAGAGAAGGCTGTAAGTATATACATCACAGATATAACTATTTACTTCAGAGAAGGCTGTTAGTATATACATCACAGATATAACTATTTACTACAGAGAACACTGTAAGTATATACATCACATATATAACTATTTACTACAGAGAACACTGTAAGTATATACATCACATATATAACTATTTACTACAGAGAAGGCTGTAAGTATATTCATCACATATATAACTATTTACTACAGAGAAGGCTGTAAGTATATACATCACAGATATAACTATTTACTACAGAGAAGGCTGTAAGTATATTCATCACAGATATAACTATTTACTACAGAGAAGGCTGTGAGTATATATATCACATATATAACTATTTACTACAGAGAAGGCTGTAAGTATATACATCACATATATAACTATTTACTACAGAGAAGGCTGTAAGTATATACATCACAGATATAACTATTTACTACAGAGAAGGCTGTAAGTATATACATCACAGATATAACTATTTACTACATAGAAGGCTGTAAGTATATACATCACAGATATAACTATTTACTACAGAGAAGGCTGTAAGTATATATATCACAGATATAACTATTTACTACAGAGAAGGCTGTAAGTATATACATCACAGATATAACTATTTACTACAGAGAACACTGTAAGTATATACGTCACAGATATAGCTATTTACTACAGAGAAGGCTGTGAGTATATACAATACAGATATAACTATTTACTACAGAGAAGGCTGTAAGTATATACACCACAGATATAACTATTTACTACAGAGAACACTGTAAGTATATACATCACAGATATACATGTAACTATTAACTACAGAGAGGCTGTAAGTATATACATCACAGATATAACTATTTACTACAGAAAAGGCTGTAAGTATATACATCACAGATATACATGTAACTATTTACTACAGAGAAGACTGTAAGTATATACATCACAGATATACATGTAACTATTTATTACAGAGAAAGCTGTAAGTATATACATCACAGATATACATGTAACTATTTACTACAGAGAAAGCTGTAAGTATATACATCGCAGATATACATGTAACTATTTACTACAGAAAAGGCTGTAAGTATATACATCACAGATATAACTATTTACTACAAATAACACTGTAACTATATACATCACAGATATAACTATTTACTACAGAGAAGGCTGTAAGTATTTACATCACAGATATAACTATTTACTACAGAGAAGGTTGTAAGTATATACATCACAGATATAACTATTTACTACAGAGAAGGCTGTAAGTATATACATCACAGATATAACTATTTACTACAGAGAAGGCTGTAAGTATATACATCACAGATATAACTATTTACTACAGAGAAGGCTGTAAGTATATTCATCACAAATATAACTATTTACTACAGAGAAGGCTGTAAGTATATACATCACAGATATAACTATTTACTACAGAGAATACTGTAAGTATATACATCACAGATATAACTATTTACTACAGAGAAGGTTGTAAGTATATACATCACAGATATAACTATTTACTGCTGTAAGTATATACATCACAGATATAACTATTTACTACAGAGAAGGCTGTAAGTATATACATCACAGATATAACTATTTACTACAGAGAAGGCTGTAAGTATATTCATCACAAATATTACTATTTACTAAAGAGAAGGCTGTAAGTATATACATCACAGATATAACTATTTACTACAGAGAATACTGTAAGTATATACATCACAGATATAACTATTTACTACAGAGAAGGTTGTAAGTATATACAGCACAGATATAACTATTTACTACAGAGATGGCTGTAAGTATATACATCACAGATATAACTATTTACTACAGAGAAGGCTGTAAGTATATACATCACAGATATAACTATTTACTACAGAGAACACTGTAAGTATATACATCACAGATATAACTATTTACTACAGATAAGGTTGTAAGTATATACATCACAGATATAAATATTTACCACAGAAAAGGCTGTAAGTATATACATCACAGATATAACTATTTACTATAGAGAACACTGTAACTATATACATCACAGATATAACTATCTACTACAGAGAAGGCTGTAAGTATATACATCACAGATATAACTATTTACTACAGAGAAGGCTGTTAGTATATACATCACAGATATAACTATTTACTACAGAGAACACTGTAAGTATATACATCACATATATAACTATTTACTACAGAGAACACTGTAAGTATATACATCACATATATAACTATTTACTACAGAGAAGGCTGTAAGTATATACATCACAGATATAACTATTTACTACAGAGAAGGCTGTAAGTATATTCATCACAGATATAACTATTTACTACAGAGAACACTGTAAGTATATACGTCACAGATATAACTATTTACTACAGAGAAGGCTGTGAGTATATACAATACAGATATAACTATTTACTACAGAGAAGGCTGTAAGTATATACACCACAGATATAACTATTTACTACAGAGAACACTGTAAGTATATACATCACAGATATACATGTAACTATTAACTACAGAGAAGGCTGTAAGTATATACATCACAGATATAACTATTTACTACAGAAAAGGCTGTAAGTATATACATCACAGATATACATGTAACTATTTACTACAGAGAAGGCTGTAAGTATATACATCACAGATATACATGTAACTATTTACTACAGAGAAAGCTGTAGGTATATACATCACAGATATACATGTAACTATTTACTACAGAGAAGGCTGTAAGTATATATATCACAGATATACATGTAACTATTTACTACAGAGAAGGCTGTAAGTATATACATCACAGATATAACTATTTACTACAAAAAACACTGTAACTATATACATCACAGATGTAACTATTTACTACAGAGAAGGCTGTAAGTATATACATCACAGATATAACTATTTACTACAGAGAAGGCTGTTAGTATATACATCACAGATATAACTATTTACTACAGAGAAGGCTGTAAGTATATACATCACAGATATAACTATTTACTACAGAGAAGGCTGTAAGTATATACATCACAGATATACATGTAACTATTTACTACAGAGAAGGCTGTAAGTATATACATCACAGATATACATGTAACTATTTACTACAGAGAAAGCTGTAGGTATATACATCACAGATATACATGTAACTATTTACTACAGAGAAGGCTGTAAGTATATATATCACAGATATACATGTAACTATTTACTACAGAGAAGGCTGTAAGTATATACATCACAGATATAACTATTTACTACAAAAAACACTGTAACTATATACATCACAGATGTAACTATTTACTACAGAGAAGGCTGTAAGTATATACATCACAGATATAACTATTTACTACAGAGAAGGCTGTTAGTATATACATCACAGATATAACTATTTACTACAGAGAAGGCTGTAAGTATATACATCACAGATATAACTATTTACTACAGAGAAGGCTGTAAGTATATACATCACAGATATACATGTAACTATTTACTACAGAGAATGCTGTAAGTATATAAATCACAGATATACATGTAACTATCTACTACAGAGAAAGCTGTAAGTATATACATCGCAGATATACATGTAATTATTTACTACAGAGAAGGCTGTAAGTATATATATCACAGATATACATGTAACTAATTACTACAGAGAAGGCTGTAAGTATATACATCACAGATATAACTATTTACTACAGAGAAGGCTGTTAGTATATACATCACAGATATAAC